GTGTTGTGGTTTGCCAGCAGCCTACATTCTGAGTAGAGATTCCAGAACTGTCTCCCGTGAACTTGTGATATCCTTTAAGATTTTGAATTAATTGTTATGCGATTTAATAAGGCAAACAAGATTTCGCTTGATTTCGAGCATGAGGACGTCATAGAGATAATAGTTTTCATTTGGGCACATGCTGCCAGGCGGGCAAGGAATCAATAAATTTCAATAGTAATGATAGGTGAAATCGCGATCATACCATACTGTGTATACAGCGAGAAGTTTTCTTCCGTGAAATTACTTTGCACTTTTCGTTTGTTTTGAATTACGTTGGATTTCAGATCGGCTTTAAAATATCGCCGAATGCTTCATGATTCCGAGTGCTTTAGATCGATTAGCTATAAAGCCATTCTGTGTTACGCGTTTGTCGAAGACTCATTCAAACAGAGGAACTCAACGTCGAATAAAATGAACGTCCAAAATAAAAGGTCAGCAACGAATATGCTTTCGATCAACTAGAAAACTTTCTCTTATATTTTTCCATCGCAACATAAGAACATGCCTTTCTATCTTTCTATCTATCCATATATATATATATATATATGTATAATGTTAGGGGGCGCTCACCGATCGTTCATACGGAACTCACTCGTTCCGTTGTGCCTTAAGGGCTCTCTCTCGAGCCCAACCAGCAGCCGCACAGCGGCGCATGATATATAGGCAGAATGATATTACCGACAAAGACAAGGGAGACCGGAATGGCCATTTCTGGCTTATTAGCCGTCGTCAGCCAGCCATACCCAAGCCCGAAGTGTGGAACACCCGAGCCTCGAACTCGCGACCTGTTGGTTTAGAAGTCAACGCCTCTACTCACCGTGTCACGAGCCCGTTGCCCTGTCGGTTTTTGATCGGGAATATACAATGTTAGGGGGCGCTCACCGATCGTTCATACGGAACTCACTCGTTCCCTTGTGCCTTAAGTGCTCTCTCTCGAGCCCAACCAGCAGCCGCACAGCGGCGCATGATATATAGGCAGAATGATATTACCGACAAAGACAAGGGAGACCGGAATGGCCATTTCTGGCTTATTAGCCGTCGTCATATATATACATTTATGCGTAAGTATTGAATGGTAGGCATCGCAAGCGATATAAGTTGAAATGAGGTGGGCTCTTTGGGACAAGAGGGTTTATTGCGTAAATTTTCGACGCTGGTTCCCAGGTCGTCGTCAGACGCAAGCGGAAAGCAAATGTGAAAGCAAGAAACAGCCGACCATCGCGAAGATCTATGGATTGCCTAAAGTCCACAAAACCGAAGTTCCACTTAGACCGATCGTATCACTAATCGGTGCACCTAACTACAAAATTTCTAAGTGGTTGTTCCAGAAACTTCATCCGCTCACGAAAAATTGTGAAACCTCAATAGAGAACTCGACAGAATTCCTGAATAAATTGCAAGGGATCACAATTTCCGCCGATGAGACAATGTTCTCTTTTGATGTCGTTTCCCTGTTTACGTCAATACCGTTGGATGCCGCAAAACAGTGCATCGAGGACCTCCTGCTGTGCTACGACACAGATGTGCCCGCCGCCGCTGTGCTCGAACTGATTGGTCTATGCTTGTAAACTAACTTTTCATTCGACCAGCAATGCTACAAGCAACTGAAGGGCGCCCCTATGGGGTCACCCATTTCTGGTTTTCTCGCTGAAATAACAATGCAGAAACTAGAGGCGACGGCGCTCCCGTTGTGTACTCCTAAATTGTGGCTGCGATATGTGGATGACACATTTGTTATCGTAAAAAAGAACCAACTAGAAGTGCTCCACAATACTATCAACTCAACAATTGCTGGGATTCAATTCACACTTGAAAAGGAAGTGGACTGCAAACTCCCATTTCTGGATGTTCTCGTGCAGCGTAAAGTCGACGGAACGTTACGCACATCCGTTTACCGGAAAGAAACTTACGCTGAAGTCATTCTTCCTTATAAGAGCAACCAGCCCATTTCTCACAAACGGAGTGCCGTAAACAGTCTGCCTGGTCGAGCAAAAACACATTGTTTGGATGGAGAAGGATATCAAGCCGAAGTCAATTACTTGTGCGAATTATTTTCGCAGAATGGATACCCTAAGGATTTTGTACGCAGATGCATGAGGCAGCGAGAATCAAGGGAGAAGGAGCCGGGTAGTTCCAAACAGACGCCTGAATTAAGCACTTGGCGAACCCTTCCTTACGTTAAGAATGTGTCTGAACTCGTCGAAAGACACTTAAGGAAGCACCAAATTCGAGTGGCGCACAAACCTACGACTGCTTTGCGCTCTCAGCTGGTACATCCTAAGGATAGGGTTAATCAGCTGGACAAGAAAGAGGTCGTCTACAAGATACCGTGTGATGCATGTACTGCCGTCTATTGTGGCCAGACTGGAAAATCCGCCTCAACACGCATCCATGAGCACCAGTTGGCAGTAAAGAGGCGAGACCATCTGTCTCAGGTAGCCATGCATACGCTGGACACCGGGCACACTTTCGCTTGGGACAAAGCTCGCGTTGTCGCGGTCTGTCCTTTCAAGAAAGGCCGAGAATTCCTCGAGGCGATGCACTCTGATGTCTCATGCATCAACCGGCATATCGAGTTGGATGCCCTGTAGAGAAACCTGAAGGAGAAATGGAAAAGAAGGGAACCAACCAACTCAGACTGACGCACGACGGCCGCCAACCGGCGCACACGCCATGCAAGTATCGATTTTTTGTGCACTCTTGACGTTAGCTGTTTCTTGCTTTCACATTTGCTTTCCGCTTGCGTCTGACGACGACCTGGGAAACCACCGTCGAAAATTTACGCAATAAACCCTCTTGTCCCAAAGAGCCCACCTCTTTTCAATATATATATATATATTATGATAGTGGGCGCTCACCGATCAGGTTACGGAACATGCTCGTTCCGTTGTGCATTGGGGCTCATACTAGAACCCTCGCATGCAGTCGCACAGCCACTAGTAGAATGATGTAAATCAGGTGGTACCGACAAAGACAAGGGAGACGGGAATGGCCATTTCTGGCTTATTAGCCGTCATCAGCATGCGAGGGTTCTAGTATGAGCCCCAAGGCACAACGGAACGAGCATGTTCCGTAACCTGATCGGTGAGCGCCCACTATCATAATTAATATTCCCAATCACAACCGACAGGACAACGGGCCCGTGGCTCAATGGTAGAGCGTCAAACTCCATGACCAAAGATGCCGGGTTCGAATCTCAAGTGATCCACACTTGGGGTTTGGTATGACTGGCTGATGACAGCTAATAAGCCAGAAATGGCCATTCCGGTCTCCCTTGTCTTTGTCGGTACCACCTGATTTATATATATATATGTTAGCAGAGGGGAGACGACAGAGTCTGGGGGTAGATTGATACAGCACTGTTTCGGGCTTGTTTGCCTTCATTCAGCCAATCATAACCCTGACCACCAGCTGGTACCGGAAACACAAACATGCGCTCAGACGCACCTGGCGCAGCTGGTCCACCACTGGGGCCTACCAGATAGGTGAATATATATATGCATATGTAGGCGAAAATGCTGACCCCAGGTGTTGAAATTGAAGAAGATGGTAAGGCGAGCTCTGCGGATGATGATTTATTCATCTGAAGTTTTACACTCATACTCGAGCGCATCATCGGAGATAGGAAATACGAGAAAATTACACGGTTTAAATAGGTCCCTCTCGCTCGCGCCTGATAAGGCCATCAATTTCTATCCTCATTGGGCCTCCCCTGCTGCGTAGGTGGTGTTTGGCGGCCTCTTATGGTGTCGAAAGATCGACACTGTGGTTGATAGAGTTGGCGTCTTTTGGCCAGGCCTCGATTATTTCTCGCTCCAATCTATTTTTTGCTCGGCCGAGCACTTGGGCGCCGTCAAAGTCAAACCCGTGGTCACTTTCCAGACTGTGCATGGCGACGTGTGGGCGTGCATCTTTCCGCTTTACAGCTAAGGTGTGCTCATGCATGCGCGTTTTAAGTCGTTTGTTTGTCATGCCGCAATAGTTGGCCTGGCAGTCTAGGCAGTTGACGCGGTAAATGACACCTGACATGTCCTCAGGGAGCAGCCTACCCTTAGGCTGCATGACTAATCGGCGGATGCTGTCTTCCGGCCGGTGTCCAACGCCCAAGATAAGTGGTCTTAGCCTACGCTCAGTGGTCTGGTCTCAGAGACGTTCCTCATGTAGGGCAAGACACGAAGTACCTCAGGTTTTTGGCTCGCCTCACCGTCATTCTTTGTGTGTTTTTGGAACAGACATTTGTTTACTAAGCTACGTGGGTGTCCATTGACAAGGAAGAGGTGCCACAGGGAGGCACGTTCTTGTACCTTCTCGGCCTCTGAGCTGCAGTGCGTGTTGATGCGGCGGAAAAGTGTCCGGACGCAACTGCGCTTATGCGACAGGGGATGGTTGCTGTTGTAGTGGAGTATTTTTCCTGTCTTTGTAGCTTTTCGGAAAACACCGGTTTGGAGGGTTCCATCTTCCTGCCTCGTTACCTGCACGTCGAGGAAAGAGAGCGTTCCGTCCTTTTCTTCCTCCATTGTGAATTGGATTTGTGGGAAGATGGAATTTAATTCTCCTCTAAAAGCCTCCTTCGCATCATGGTGTAGGACGACAAATGTATCGTCCACAAGCGCATCCAAAATTTTGGCTTATAGGACCGAAATATACGAGTTTCCAGTTGCTGCAGTACCGCCTCAGCCAGGTAGCCGGAGATCGGGGATCCCATCGGGGTTCCCTGGATTTGCTCATCAGTATGGCCGTTAAACGTGAAATACGTGCAGAAGCAGTAGTCCAGTAACTCAATCGAGTGCTCTCTTTTGAACGGTTTTTCTTCATCGTCGTACTTCCGTTCCAGTAGGCCACTGATGACTCATGGCCAACTCCTTAGGGATGGAGGTGAACAAAGAGACGACGTCAAAGGATACCATGATCTCATCGGGGGCTATTGTCACGTCTCGGACTTTTCCCAGGAAGTGCGTTTAGCAGGCGGCTGTGTGTTCGGAGCTTTCCGTCAGCTTCTTTAAGTGCTTGGTAAGCCATTTAGCCAGTCCGTAGGTAGGTGTGCCTTTCAGCGCTACGATGGGTCGTAGGGGGACATTTGGTTTGTGGATTTTTGGCAAACAGTAGAAACGCACTAGAGCGGCATCTTGCGGTCTCCTTTGTCTCCAATCGTTTTCAGATATCGCCTTTTGGGTCCTTATCGGATTTAAGCCCTTGTGGATTTTGCCTACGGGTTTTTTTACGGGGTCAGAGTCGACGACTCTGTATGACTGGTTGTCGTTTAGTAGTTCCTGGGCTTTTACGGCGTACTCTGATCTGTCCAAGATCACGGTTGCCCGTCCTTTGTCCGCTGGAACAATGACTATTTCTTTGTCCATCTTTAATTCCCTAATGGCCTTTAATTCGGCCGAGGAGATGGTTCGACGTGGCTTGTAGGATATGATGAGGGATGAGACTCGTTGGCGAATGGAGTTCTTGGAGTCTCCTGTGGTATCCGTCTTTGCGAGTGTCGCTTCCAATGCCGCAACAAAATCCAGTGGCTGTGCGTCACCTGTGTTGTATCCAGATTCGTGCTGAAGCACTTTAGTCTGGTCGCCTGTCAGCTGTTTTGATGAGAGGTTGTGGACGGATGGTGGTTCTGACATAGCTGCATCTGCCTGCTGTAGGGTTCGCATTTTGTTCAGGAGTTGGACCCTCTTCTTCCCTCGCTCTACGTTCCCCTTTATAGAGATCCAGCTCTCCAGGTTGTGCAGTGTTTGATCCTCCAGGTATGATGCACATGCTGCTTTCTCCCTTTCGATTTCCCTGCCGTACTTTCGCAGGCGAATATGACATTCGCTAATGAGGGTTCGTAGTAAGCGTCGGCTGCAGCTCCTGGCGACCTCCCGACCGAAGTTGGTCTTAGCTGGTGGTCTCACAGAAACACTCTTCGGCATGATGTCTGACTTCAGGCAGTTGTGTAGAAAGACCAACTGTTCCCGCGTAGCTCCCTGTTGGGCCACCGTTGGGCTAGGTGTGGCCTTGGACCAGTCTCATCCAGGATTAATGCAGAAGCATACCCACGATTTAAATTGTGCATTTAACCGCTAAAGTAAGCTATATTAAGATTAAAATACAGGAAATTAATTCTATGATAAACTAATACGTGACGCGAATATCTGATGTGTTTTTGTTGTTGCGGATTACGAAATCCCAGCATATATTCCATGTCTAGGTTTCTCTTGCCAACGAACATCTCCCTGCACTCCATTCGGTTCTCTGCCAGCAAGTGGCCCAATCTTACCATTGCCACACCGTGGTCCCACCTTGTGGCCCACCCCAGCCCAACTACAGCCCAACCCAGTCCAGATGGGCCGGATTGGGCTGGATTCGACTGGTGCTGGCAGGGGAGGGACATTATAGGCAATCAGTCTGCTGTTCTGCCAACTTTTAACGCAAGTATCAAAGGAAACAACTAGGTAGCCAAATTACACTGTTTTCTACCGAACTATTATAATTGCGTCATTATGCAGCATTCTCGGCGGTATTTATGAAAAGCTTGCGACCGCACAGAAGGCTCCCGTTAACCAGCCGACCCGGCTAACTGATATTTCACTATAGCTAAATCTCGGATTGCGACCGCGACAACGTTAAAGCAAAAAGTGACAGACTAAATTAAATCCCTGCACAATCATTTGAAAACTGACTTCATCTGAAAAACTTGGAAGCGATTTTTGCTACATTGATCTAGGATAGATCTTTGAATGTGCTTAAATTGATCTTTGCGGAGGAAAAATCGTACAGCTTGCGGAGTTAACTGTAACATGTTCATACGAGTGAGTCGGTTTGAAGTGGGCTGGTCAAAGCCTGCGATTTTTCAGACGAAATTAGTACACTAGTCGGACAGTAAGTCACCGCTGAGCAATTATTTGTTAAAATGTTTACTGCAGGATATGGACTCGTATAGTTATTAATTTAACTGCTGCTTAACCGCACCCTAAAGTAGGTTTATTGACGTGCCTGTCTACTCGTATTCCATTGTATGCCCTTTCAGCTGTCAAACCTGAGTGTGATAAAGCCGACCTAGGAGGGCAACAATCAATCAGTTTAGGTCAACTACTGGTAACATGAGTAGTTTTTGAATAGAATGTAATCTGTACAAATTGGGAGCGAACAAACATAGATTACACAAACTGTTGTTCCCATTAAAATGAATTAATTAAGACGTTTCTAGGTTGCTGATCGGAAAAGTTGAAGAGCAGAGGATTGACCATTAAAAATTTGGACTGAAATTAGGGATCATAGTGGTTCTATACTTTTCATCTACCGTTAATGCAGGCATTTCGGCAAGTTTGTCTTACTGAAATTGGTCTTATATGGTTTCCTGTTATAACTAGTACAACTGGATTTTCTGAAACCCAGGATTTATAAGTTAACCAAGCTGACAGTTAAACGCTAATTTCACGTCCTTTTACATTGAATTAGAACAAAACTCATTTTAAGCTGTGAGAAATAACAATAACAAACTCACTGAATTAGAGAAAAAAGTTGTGATATATTCTAAAAATGGATACTGGCTAAAAGTAGAGGCATGCGCTGAGAGAAACTTATGCGTGCACTATGCACATAAAAGTCGGTAAGTTTATGTATGTTCGTACGTTGAAATTAACAGTTTTCCGCTGTGATGAGTACGATGAAGACCGAGTCAACCGGGAATGCACCATTGTAATGGTTTAATTCCCATTATCTCTATTAACTTTGTCAAAAATACGAATCTTGACGATTCTCTAGTTTGTTTGGCTGTGACTCTCCTAAACTGCGTGGATAGGGCCTCTCATGTTCGTTAGTGCGGTTGTTGCACCGCTGTTCACAACGACATGAAGTATTATTGCCAAGGTCTTAAGACTAATACCCTAAACGTCTATGCGGATCATATATCTGGTAAATTTTTGCAGAATAGTGAAATGTATTTTAGGTGTTATCAGCAAAAGCCCGCGATAACTTAGATACTTGGCCAACTTGGATCATCTCTTAGTCTTTTGTAAGGATATTTCTAGATATTAGACTACAGAATTATTCTAAAACGCATGAAGCTATTTTCAATACCGACTGTAAAGAAGTTGTAGGGTGAACCGCTTGCAACATTGAATCAATGGCTATAATGGATGTGAGCGCTGTGGCCATACCAACTTTGCAGCTGCACTATGGGTTAAGTGCAGCCTAATTTAAAATGTACAGTTGTCTCCCATCTTGGAATCTAGCAAAGATCTGTATTTCTTTAAAGTAACAGGACATCCAATTTGACTGCGCCTAGAAAAATTCGACTACATGACCGCGACCGACTCAGAATGTTAAATGGCGCTCAAAAAATTGTAAAACCTAGAATCGATGGGATACAAAATGCCGGCGAATGGATTTTCCAGACACCACTATTCCGGTAAGGTGATAAACGGACAGCTAAGATTCCATGTCTGCTGCAAGATGAGCAAGTTTTAAGATTCTGGCCTGAAATATTTGTTAGTATAGCAACAATAAAGCCAGTACCTTCAGTGTGAAGCACGTGCAGTCGATGTGCTATCTCATGAACGATTAACTGAATGTCTAAAATTCGTTTTCAATCCGAAAAGGGAACTTAAGTAGTGTTGTTATGTTAAATATCGTGGCGTATTATTGCCAAGATATTTTAATCGAGTCTGGATGCCGGCTTTCGAACGAATTTTTTATCAACCGTTTGCGTAAACTATGTTTTGCAAAATGGCTACTTAGATAGTATGATTTTTTCCATCGATTTTCGATGCTTCAACATACTCCAATATATCTCATGGATAACATGCACAAAATATTCCTTCATTTAGTTTTTGGCAGCAAACTAGATCCTTTTCAATTTTATCCTCGAAGAAAGGGTCTCTTATGGTTTTGAAGAAAGTTTTAAACTGCAGGATTTTTCATGATTGTAAAACGTCCAATCGTGCTGCAATGCATCAGCATATTTATTAATAATGTTTAGGAAGTGAACAAAGTAGTGCACATACATTATAAAATTCTATAAGCCCCATGTCTTCTTCCTAATAACATAAAAAATATGTGAGATGCTGCTGACAAAGACAAGGGTGACCGGAATGGCCATTTCCGGCTTATTAGCCGTCATCAGCCAGCCATACCCAACCCCGAGTATGGATCACTTGAGACTCGAACCCGGGATCTTTGGTTATGGAGTTCGACATTCTACCATTCAGTCACAGGCCCATTGTCCGGTCCCTGTGCGACTGCCTGCGAGGGCTTTAGTATGAGCCCCAAGACTCAATGGAACGAACACGTCCCGTAAGCTGATCGGTAAACGCCCATCTGTCATAAGAAATATATGATTTTCTTTACACAAAAAGTATACAGTATGTAGTTTGGCAACCCAAAATGCTAGTACTACGCCAAGTCGGATTCAAAATTAGTCGGAAATTGAGGAAGCTTTTTAAAACCGAATGCTACTCCTATCCCATGTATTACTTTAGAAGTAGACGTACTTATATGAGAAATAGGTTTGAGGAGGAATATTTTGTTCATATCTTCTATGAACTATATTTTAGTTTATATGGGTATCAAAAATCAATGAAAATAATTCATGTTATTCAAGCAGTTATTTTTTAACAGATGCATTTTAGGCAAGCGGTTGACAAGGAGCTCTTTGGAAGCCTTT